ATTAAAAAGATTAATTTATTATTAAAAAATTTAATTAATAGTATATAAATTAAAATTATCTTTAAATTCTTTAAAACTAATCAACCTATTTTATCATAAGCCATTTAGAGAATATCTGCCTGGTGAACTTTATTAGTAGTAGTAATAAAACAAAAACTTGCTCAAGGAATATATCTAGGATGAGGCTTATGTATCTGATATACAGACTGTCTTTCGAGCCAATCATACACATCATTTAAGGTAAAATCAAACTCAGCTTTTTGAGATGCTTCATGCAAGTTTTTAACATTTCTTTGATATCCAATAGGCTGATAGTAAATTTTTCACAAAGCAATAAATACATCAAGTTTTTGAGCTTCACCTGAATCTATCTGGATAATAGGAATCAACATCTTTTTTTCATATTCATTCAGATAGTATTAAAAAAAATTACTCAGATAAAATATGATTAGGCAAACATTCTGAAGGATTATAACTGAGGAAGAAGATTATATCGAAATTCTAGATACTTATACTGAATTACATAAAAAATTGAATGATGAAATAGCTGAAAACAAACTTAAGGATAAAAAGCTAAAATCTCTTTCTAGAGAGCTAGAAACCTGTTATAAGACATTATCTCACCAGGGTTCAGCAATATTAGCTTATGAAGATGAAATAGCATCTCTTAAGTCTGAGATAAAATCTCTTAAACAGTGTTTTCATAAAGCATTACAGGATTTAAGGCATAAAGATAATGCAAGTACTGCTTAAGATATCCATATTTTAAGGCTAGAAGACATGGTTGAACAGCTGAAGAAGCGAATTAAGAAGATTACAGATAAAAAATTATTCTAAATAAATAGTTCACCAATGGTGTTACTAGAACTTTTAAGAGATATTGCTATAGCTATAGACCGTGTTAAATTATATGTTAATGGAGATAGATCATTTGACCCTAAAATATCTTGAATGGTATATGAATAACATTAATAACTGTTCGTACTCATATGCAAAGAGTAGCAAATAAGGCTTTACATTATTAAGGTATGCTTAATATGGTTAATGAGCAGGTCAATAACTTTATGAATAATATGGCAAATGTTAGAATAAAAGCTTTCGAAGAGCTCAATTATTAACTTTAGCAATGTGATATTGTCTAAGACGATACTTAATTTAATGGTTGAATACCATATGAAACACACAATTACAAGGCATCATTCGATGATGGACCTGAAGATTCGATCATACTTAGTCATGTTATAATAAATAAATTCAGTTAGAATAGAATTGGTTCAGAGGTGTTTGGCTCGACAATGTCATCTTGTCATGTGAAAAGTTCATTTTATAATAATGAAACAGATGAATATCAGGTATAGTGGTTTAGAACTCAGAGATCAGAAAGGTACAACCATATATTATTGCAAGAAAAGGTAGCTCTTCAGCTAATAAATTGAAGGCACAAAGCTGAAGCTGACTTAGCAGAATTCAATAGAGCCTGAGTATTTAATAGATATCAAAAATGGAAAGCTCGAGAAATAAATTCCTAGCAAATACTTTTAAATCTACAAAATAATCCGCTTATTAATCCATCAAACATAGCAAAAGCTTGACGTCAACCGTTATATAATACAATAGCAACTATTTTTGCTAAACATGAATAATATACTAGGCAGGAATCTCCTACTAAGTACTTAGATAAAATTTGGAATTCTATATCACATTTAGAGCCAAATATAACAGCACTTAAAAATGCTAACGCAGGAGACTTTAATGATACAATTAAA